TATTTAATAAATGGTGTTGATGCAACTGGCTAGAATTTGTGTTTTAAATAAAGTTGGACATACATAGCATTGACAGACATGGTTTTTTGTTTCTGATTTTAATGAAAATATGTGGTGCTTTACTGCTAATTTGGCTATTGGCCTGATAAAAAATTTTTATTAAAAAAACACAAACTATTTGAAGGAGAAAAGGTTTAGGTATTATATATTAGCCAAATGCCTTTGATATATATGTAAATGTTAACATTTCTCCTTATGTAATGTGTTGACATGACTTATTACATTATTAGGTTGCCTGAAAATGAGCCATTCTAACATATTTTGTATCAACCCTTATTTGATTGTAGTAAATTATTTTTACAGTTTGTAAATTGTTCTTATGTTTACTTTTATATTGTTGAATTCTTTTAACTGGTATTTTTTTGGAGTTATTTTATATCATTGCATAAGTGAGTTTATAGTTTATTTTTCCAACTAGACTGTAGTAAAGGATATAGAGGGAAAAGGAGTGTGTGTAAATCAGAACCATGTGCTTAGAAAGCAGTGTGTGGCAAAAAGGATGCATAATAGGCACTGGAGACAAGTTTTTAATTGAATGGGAATTTTTTATAGAAAAACATCTATCTATAATAAACCAAGATATCTTAGTTTACATGTATAAGTCTTGGTTTTGTTTTTCTTTTAGATTGAAGAGCAGTCAGATTGTAAGATTCTAGATGGACACTTTGTTTCCCCTATGGCCCACTATGTGCCTGATATCATGCCAGTTGAATCTGTTATTGCAAGGTAAGAATTTTTATTCAGAAAGTTAAAGTACTAAGTTGTTTATGTTTATTTAAATTATAATAATATCAACGCTATGTTATTTGAAATTATTTAGCATTAATTACAATAATTACTTAGCATTATTCCCATTAAACATGGAGTAGGGGAAGAGTGAAATTATAGAGCTTCAGTATTTTGACATATTTAGTATGCATCTCAACTTAAGTTGTTATCTGCTGAAAATATACTGTTATAAACATAAGAAGTTTTGTGTAAGTTGTATGGTAACCACAAAACTAAAATCTGTAATATATGAACAAAAGAGAAAGATAAAGAAATGTAATTATCTCACTACAGAAAGTCATCATATCATAAAGGAAGGGGGAAAAGATAAGGAAGAAACAAAACACTTATAAAATCGCCAGAAAACAATGAACAAAATGGTTATAGTAAGTCCATACCTACCAATAATCACTTTAAATGTAAATGGACTAAATTCTCCAATCAAAAGACATGGAATGGTTGAATGGATAAAGAAACAAGACCCAACTACATACTGCCTATAAGGGACTCACTTTAGATGTAAGAATGTAAACAAAGTGAAAGTGAAGGGATGGAAAGAGAGATTCCATATAATGGAAACAGAAGAAAGCAGAAGTAGTTATATAATACAGAGTAGACTCTTAAGTTAAAGATTAAAATATGAGACAAAGGAGGTCATTATATAATGATAAAGGGGTCAATCCAAAAAGAGGATATAACATTTGTAAATATATATGCACCCAACATAGGAGTGAAATGTATAAATCAAATATTCACAGACCTGAAGGAAGAAATAGACAGCAATGCAACAATAGTAAGAAACTGTAGTACTCCACTTTCAAGGATGGATAGCTCATCCAGACAGAAAAGTCAATAAGGAAATACTGGACACAAACTACATTTTGGATCCCATGAACTTAACAGACATTTAGAGAATATTATGTCCTACAGCAGCAGAATACACATTCTTTTCATGTGCACAAGGATAATTCTTCAGGATACATCATGTTATGCCACAAAACAACTCTCAAAAAATTTAAGGAGATTGAAATCCTATCAAGAAAGTTTTCTGGCCACATCGGTATGAAACTAGATATCAGCTACAAGAAGAAAACTCAAAATTTCACAAATATGTGGCAGTTAAACAACCTCGTACTAAACAACCAGTGAGTCAAAGAATAAATAAAAAAATACATTTGAGGCAAATGGAAATGGAAATACAACATACCAAAGCTTATGGGATATGGCAAAAGCAGTTCTAAGAGCAAAGCTCATAGGGATAAACACCTACATTAAGATAAAAGAAAGATCTCAAGTAAACAACCTAAGTTTACACCTCAACTAGAAAAAGAAGAACAAACTAAGTCCAAAGTTAGGAGGAGGAGATAGCATAGATCACAGCAGAAATAAATAAAATAAAGACTAAATGTAATAGAAAAGATCAATGAAAACTAAGCTGGTTTTTTGAAAAGATAAACAAAGGAGACAAACTTTTAGCTAGATTTGCCAAGAAAAAAAGAGAAGAAGACAAATACTGTATGATCTCACTGATATGTGGAATCTAAAAACACACCTCAAACTCATAGATAGAGTAGACTGGTATTTGCCAAAGGTGGGGAATGGGGAGGTGCAAAATTTGTGAAGGTGGTCAAAATATACAAACTTGCAGGTATAAAATAAGTCTTGGTGGCTATAGTTAATAATGCTGTATTGTATATTTGAACTTGGTAAGAGTAATTAATTCTTTTTTAAAAAATATGTTTTTATTGATTTTAGAGAGAGAAGAAGGGAGAGGGATAGAAAGGTAGAAATATCGATGACAAAGGACCACTGATGGGCTGCCTCCTGCACACTACCTACTGGAGATCGAGCCTGCAACCCAGGCATGTGCCCTGACTGGGAATTGAACTGGTGACCTCTTGGTTCATGGGTCGATGCTCAACCACTGAGTCACACCAGCCAGGCAGGAGATTAATTCTTAAAAGTTCTCATCACACAGAAAGAATTTTGTGACTATGTGTGATGATAAATGTTAACTAGACTTATTGTGGTGATCATATCACAATATATACCTATATTGAATCGTTTGTTATACTCCTGACACTAATAATATGTTAAATGTCAATTACATCTATTTTTTTTTAATCTTTTTTTCAAAAGGACTTTGGAAGCTGGAAACGGGAAGCCATCAAGATCTACATAGATACTTCCCTTTCCTGGGTGCTTCATTGTGTTTTATCTCTGTTTCATGACCCATGTCCATGTGATTTTTCAGTGGTTAGACTAGCTTTCTCTGTTTCTCATGCAACTGACAAGAAAATAGCTTTCACAACCCCACAGAACTCTATTTAGTATGTGTCTTAATTCCAGATGACCAAAAGAGCAAATCTCATTGCCCTAATTTGGCCTATACCTGGCCCAGTCATCTGTGGAAAAGGGGCTCACATGGCCTGTACCTACCTATTCATCATGGGGCTCTAGAAAAGACTGTGAGAAGACAATATAATTTGAGCAGACAAACTTATTATTGAGTCTGTACTAGATGTGTGATTAGTTAGTATTGTAATATAAGATCCCTATTAACTTAAAGCTATTCTCCAATATAAGTCTCAAAATCCATTGTCATGAAACAAAAGGAAAGTACAAAATAAGTGCCAAGATGTTCTGCTTTCTGCGGAAAACATTTTAATGTTTTCATTTTCCCCAAATCTTCAAAATAGCAAGAAGCAGGACAGTGCTGAGAATGCAAAATGAAGGAGAGTAGTTAACATTGATAGTTTCACTATGAGATTGAAAATTAAGAGTTTTTTCCATGAGTACAAAACAAATAATCTTTGATGCCATCCTAGTAATTGACTATGTTCTATTCAGCAGTTCATTGACAGATTACTAGTGATATTGTCCCTTGCCAAAGCAAAGTAAGCTCAGAGAAGCAGCTATTTTAAAAAATCTTTTTGTTGATTCTGAGAGAGAGAGAAAGGGAGAGGGGGAGAGAGAGAGAAATGTGGATGTGAGAGGGTAACATCAATCAGCTGCCTCCTGCATGCTCCACACTGGGGATTGAGCCTGCAACCCTAGGCATGTGCTCTGACTAGGAATTGAACCGGCAACTTTTTGATGTACTGGACGATGCCTGATGAACTGAGCCACACCCACCAGGCCAGAAAAGCAGTTCCTCTTGCCTGAGAATGCAGCCACCTAAAGAGTTCTGTTTTCTAAGACAATCATATACATTAATGGCTCTAGTATAAGAAAATTTCATTAAGCATTTATAAAGTTGCGGTATTGAACAAGATAAAAAGTGATTACATTAAATCCTGTGTTTATTTAGTAATTGAATATTTTAATATCCTAAGATAAAGCAAATTTACAGTATCTGTTGCCTTTAGGCAATTACAATTTTAATGTCAAAATTCTGAAGACCTTTTCCCAAAAATAATTTAATTATGAAATTTTTAAGAATTGAAAGTTTGTATTAAAAGCCTTTAAAAGATAATTCACATGTGTTTTATTTTAAATAGATTCCAATTTATTGTGCCTAAAGAATGGAACAGCAAATATAGACCCGTATGCATTCATCTTGCTGGAACAGGAGATCATGTAAGACTTTATTATAACTTCTAATCCCTAACTTGTCAACGTACTCTTCTTAACAGATGTGGTTATTATATTCCTTAAGTATGTCATCTTTTCTTTCCTTAGCATTACTGGAGACGACGAACACTGATGGCTCGTCCTATGATTAAAGAAGCCCGAATGGCTTCTTTGTTGTTAGAAAACCCTTATTATATCCTTTTGTGATACCTAGAAATCTTTTCTCTTATTTACTTATAGATTTAGTTATCAAAAGGAATGATAGATAGTGGCCAGCTTTTCTAAATCAGTTAAATTTAGTCATCAGTTCAAAAAATACTTAAGCAAGAATGAAATTAAAAATTACTTCATGCCTTTTAAAAACTAAAGGACTGTGCTTCTATTATATAATTTAGATAAATGGTACTTCTGTTTCCTGTGAGACTTATTTTATGCTGCATTTTAATATTAATAAGTCAAATGTTTGTTATTAAGGAAACCCTCATGTTTTAAATGCAAAGTATCAGTTGAGGTTTAGAACAGTTCTTAACTTAATTTTCAAGATGACGTCAGACTATACCCAGAAGAAGAAACGAAACTGATGCACACATATAAAGAAATGCTCAACGTTGCTGGTAATAAGAGAAATGTAAAGTTAAAGCAACAATTAACAAAGATTTTAAAAACAAAACACAGTACTCATGAGGCTGATATGAAATGGGCACTCTCATTACTGATGGCTGAATATCAGCTCAATCCCTTGGGAAAGCATTTTTACCATAATTGCATCAAGAGCCTTAAACTTCACATCCCTTGACAGAGTGATTTTCATTCTGGGATATTTATTCTAAGGATAAAATACTAAGAAAAGATAAAGTGGTAGAAAAGAGAAAAGATATCCGTATAACTTTATTTACAATAGTAAAATATTAGAAATCATTTGAATGTTCAACAATAGCAACATGATTGAGAAGACTGTGGTTCATAATATTGGAATATTATGCAATTATTCTGTAATGTTTATTGCTCTACTACTTACTACCTTATGACCTTAGACCCAGTGCCTGGTAAATAATGTGTTCAGTAAATTTTAAGTTATTAAAAAGTTTACAGCAGTGTATGTAAGTGTTTATAATATAAAAATAGAATATAAAACTATGGTAAAATATAGATGTACAAGAAAACTAAAAACAGAATATTTAAAAGACTGTACAAAAGAAAAACTAATGGAAAAAATGCACCAAGATATTAATATATTGTCTATAGCTAACGTAATTTTTTTCTAATAAGCTTTTTGTATTTTCTAGGTTTTCTAAAAATTTTTTATTGATTTTAGAGGGGGTTGGGGAGGGAAGAGGCCTCCGAGAGAGAGAGAGAGAGAGAGAACGAAGCATTGATTTGTTGTTCCACTTACTTATTCATTCATTGCTTGGTTCTTGTATGTCCTCTGACCGGAAATGGAACCTTCAACCTTGGCATATTGGGACAACACCCTAACCAACTAAGCTACCTGGCCGGGGCTTTTAGGTTTTCTATAATAAGTATATAAATGAAAAAAACCAATAAACTTAAATTGAAGATTACACAACCCAATGAATATACTAAAAACATTGAATTGTACACTTCAAATGTATAAATTGTTTAGCCCTGGCTGGTGTTGCTCAGTTGGTTGGAGAATCTTCCCATGCACAGAAGGTCTCTGGTTTGCTTCCGATCAGGGCACATACCTAGGTTGCGAGTTTGCATATAGGAAGCAACCCGTCGATGTATCTCTCACATCAGTGTCTCTCTCATTTCTTCCCTCTCTAAAATCAATAAAAGTTCTTTTTAAAAAATTACTAAACAAAATAAAATAAAGCTCTTTATAAAAAGAAAACAATTAATTTGAAAAACCCGAGGATTTCTAAACAGCATATCTGAAATAACCAGAAAATGGTTATTTCAGTACTAAATTATCTTCAACTTTATCTATTTTAAGTTAATGTGTTTTGATACACAGAGTATATTTAATTATTTTAAAACTTTCTCTTTGACCTACATTCTTAAATGGCTGCAGGAAACCCAAGGACCAAATGTAAGTATACGCCACCTTTGTTTTTGCAGTCCTTATACTAAATTTTCAGCAATATTAAAAATTTTGGTAGTCTTTGGTTAACCATTTCTAAGTTTAATCTCCAGGTGTTATTGCAGGGGAATTCTGTTATAAAACCATAGTAGAAATGTTAACTTAAATTTTTAGTTTAAGCTTTTTGCATTTTAAATGTCTGATAAAGAGATAAATATTTTAATAGGCTGACTGAAGATATGTTTTATTTGTAAAACTTTAACTGAAGAAACGATAAAACATTTTCCTTTTTAAAAGGAAAAGTACATTTACTTTGTGAAATTAAACACTATATTCTTTTTATTCTTGCAATGCATAATATAGGTAATCTGAAGATAAGCTTTCTCTTCCTGGTCTTTTAAAATGATCAACTTTGAGGGCAATTTTTTTTGTATTTTCATAATCTATATTGTGTTAATTTTGATTCATTCAAGAAATATTTGATCCTAGACACTGGGAAGACAGCAACAAAAAGACAAGGTCCTTATTTTCATGGAGTTTATATTCTAGTATGGGAGAGAGATAAAAATAAATAATTTCAGATACTTATCAATACCACAAAGAAAACAAAGTAAGGCGGTGGGATAAAGAGTAATAGATTGTGCGTGCAGGATAGAGCAGTATTAGGTATGAGGACATGATGTAATGAGAAGGACCCAGTGGGGTGAAGACCTGGAGGAAAATCAGCCTCAGAGAAGGCAGAGTAAATGAAAAGCCCAATGCAAGCACCAGGTGGGAAAGTAGTGCACTATGAGATCTGAAAGGAACGCAAGGACCCGAATAGGAAGAGCCGTGATTAGAATTTTACTGTAAGTGCAGTGGGAAACCTCTGGAGTATTCTAAGCACAGGAGTGATCTTATTTATGCTTTCAAATGCTTATTTTAGTTTAGAGTAGCAGCAGAGAAATCAAATAGGAAGTTATTACAATATACTAGAAAAAGTAAAGAAAGCAACTTTAAGGTGGTGGCAGTGGAGATGCAAAAAAGATGTGATGGATTTGAGATATAATTTAGAAGTTGAAATTATAAGACATTGATAAATTAGATATTGTGGGTAGGAAATCAAAAGTTCTGACTTGTACATATTTGTGATGTCTGTTGGACTTGCAAGTGGAAAAGTCAAGTAGGGAGTTGGAAAGTGGTGGAAAGGTAAGTTTAGAAGTACATGTCTATGTGGTCATGATATAAAAGAGGTCTTGAAAGTGGGGTGTGGTGGACACAAACCTATATCCTATGATTAGATAATTAGATTTAGAGTAAACTTTGTGAAATCTTGTGAAAAATTAAGTCCAGGCTAAATAGTTCAAGAATTCTTACTTTGGAACTAGAACTAGGTGTGTCATTTTCACCCTCTCTGTAGGTGTTTAAAAAACAAAGAGAGTTTGAGTTATACTGAGGAGGCAGAAAAATTGTTTAATAGAAACACTCTTGACTTTGGCTTCATACATACATAGGTTGGAATTGTAACTTGCCATTTACTAATTGTATGACCTTGGCCTAAGTATCAATCAGTCACTTCATTTATAAAGTGGGAAAACTATGTAATTTCTCCAGTGCAGAATTGTTGTGAGAATGTTTATAAAATACCCTGTCACATATTATGTTCCCAGGAAATATAATAGTACTCCAATATATTTCATTTTTCTCAAATAATTCATTATAAGAAAGAAATGGCTTACAATTTAAATAATTATAAAAAAACTCTCTCTCTTTTAAAATATCTTAACCCTATTTTCATCAAAAGTGGTTAAATAATTTGAGACTGGGTTTATAGTTATAGATAATCATTGTCTCAGAACCTTACATCAGTAACTTCTGTATAAAAGAGCAAACTGAGATGGACCTGAGAATTCAAACTTCCATACCAGGTAAAAAGAAATAATCAAGGAAATTCTATAATCATAAGTAGAAAATTAGAATGAGAATAGAAAACAAATATAAGGATGAATGGGTTCTTTTATGATGAAGCATGAGTATGACCTATTTTGTCATAGGATAGCATAGTTTCCATAAAGAGAAGTTCTGCCTTATGGACTTGGAGCTCTGCGAGGATGTGGTAGGACAGTGGGCATAAGCTGCTGGGGAACAGAATTCTGTCTTTAACAACTTGGGATTCCTGTGGCACCTGGTTCTCTGCATGTAATTATTCTACATAGACATATAATGAAAAACCATTGATAAAGTGAATTTTTGTACACTTTCACAAGGTTTCATCTAGTAGCCAACTATGTGGCAATGCTTTTAAATGAATTAAGTTTTGAAAAATAGATTCTAACCTGGTCACTTTAGTAATAAAATAATAAATGTTTTTTATTGCTATGTTAAAAGTGGTTCAGGAATCTAAAAAGATGTATTTAAGTAAGTACTTCTTATAAGGAAATGTTCTTTGATGTAAAATCAGTTTCTAAAAATAAAAAGTTCAAGTTGAATTGTTCTTTATTTAAATTAATCAAAACATGTTTATGAGAAATTATTTTTCCAGTATTTTATTAAATTTATAAATTGTGTATTTTGTGGAAACAAGCAACATACTTAAAATTTTGGTAATATGTGAACCTAGTATTAGGTTAAACTCTTTTACATTACTTTTTTAAATATGTTATGCCTTTAAGTTCTGTTGTAATAAGTTCTTTCTAAGGGGGGACAACTATAAATTTCTTTTTCCTTGTATCAGTTGTGGTAATTTAATTAAAAATTGGAAGTATAGAAGTATTTTCCCTAAGTATTTTAAGTTTTTTAAAGTATCATTGAATAAATAAGATACTCTTTTTTGAACTTCAAAATAGTTAAATAGTTGAAATTCAATAAAGATTATATGCTATAGAGCATATATAACTTAAAAAATAAGTTTTAGGTGATTAATATGTAGAACTATATTAGCAGCACTGATTACATTGATTCAGTCCATTGTTTTACTTAGCTACTGGTCCTTTAAAAGAAAAACAGGAACTCTGCCTGCCTGTTGTAAATTTTCACATATTAAAATGTAAATACATTAAAAAATAATTTTCTTTTTTGTTTTGTGAGGCTAGAAGGTCCAGCTTAAAAAACGTGTCTGACCTATTTGTGATGGGAGGAGCTCTTGTTTTAGAATCTGCAGCTCTCTTGCACTGGCTAGAGAGGGAGGGTTATGGACCTCTAGGAATGACCGGAATATCCATGGGAGGACACGTAAGCCTTTCATTTCAACTGGTATTTACTTGTGATTGTGTTTGTAAAATCTAGGGAATCTAGTTCTTTTAAAAATATACTTTATGTTTAGAATTAACTTTAGTTTTGGTGAAAGAAGAAACAGATTCTAAACTTTTGTTCCAATTATAAAGTAATGATGTATGTGTTTTTTTTGTATGATTTATGTAGACACTGATTGTACTTACTCCACAATTATATCTCAGGTATTGGATTTGATATTTTATTAAAAGTTGATTATGAAACTTAACTCAAGTTTCAAGTTAAAATGCCGTATCTTACCTATCTTACCTTTCTCTTCTAGAGTGTACTAAAATGGCCTCCTACTTGGTTTCCCTGTCTGTATTCTTTTCTCTTAACCTTTTTCTTAACAGTTTTTCTCCACACCCTAGTGATCTTCCTCAATCTGATCTCTGCTCTGTCCTGCCTAAAACCTGCCAAAGACTTGCTGTTGCACTGGCTGTAACTATGCCAGGTGCTGGCATCCCTCTGGTGCCCTTCCAGGCCCTTCCACCTAGCTGAATAACAGCTAGCTTTTCTGATTCCAATTTAAAGCTTGCTTCCTATGAAAAGCGCTCCTGACTCCTAGCCTTACTCCAGACTATACTTCATCTCCTGTTAGTACTTATTTCACTGTACTTAACGTAGCCATCTGTTTGCTCCATGAAGCAGAAGATTCAGTGAGGGCCAGGAATATGCTCTGATTCACTACCTGGACTTATTAGTCACTCAGTACATTAGAAAATTATCATTTGTAAGTTACTTGACTTATAAAATTAAGTTCAAAAACTTAAATTCAAAGCAGTTACCAAAGAGTGAAGCTGATAAAATTACTTCAAGAACTTATCATACTCAAAACAGCAACTACCAGGCAGTGAAACTGAAGGGTGGAAAAGGGTTTGTTTTCCTGCCTCGTGGTGTTTCTGTTGCTGTGACCTAGGTTGGGGCCTTATAATTTCACCTGGACCGCTGCTCTTATCTGGTTTCCTACCTTAGCCTTCATCCTCTCATCGGTCCTGTAAACCACTATCATTTTAGCTTCCTCGAATCACTTCTTTGACGCCACTCCTTTGCACAGGCCTCTTTATCAATTCCCCATTATGTACAGAACAAAGGAACTTCTAATCGATCCTGATCAATCTTTCCAGCCCTACCTATGCCCCAACCCCCACGAACCCCACTGGCCACATGTGCACTATTGACCAGTCAAGCTGAAGTACAGGGTGGGTCAAAAGTAGGTTTACAGTTGTACTCCAAACAGAGTTTATTCTTGTATTATTAACTGTTGTATCGTTTGCTATACAAACAACTGTAAACCTGCCTTTGCTCCGCCTTGTATATTGCCTGCTCCCTACCACACAGACTCTGTGCTTTCTCACTATCTTGCCTTTGATCCTACTGTCTTCTTTATATGGAAGACAAGACCCCATCTTTTCCCTAAGAGACAGCCATTTCATGAAGCCTCCTCCTATTCCTCTAGTCAAAAATAACTCTTCCCCTCTCTAGGCATACACATTACATTATTTTATATCACTTATATATTCTGTTTTGTAGTTTACCAAATTCTTGGCATCTTTCAGTCAACCTCAAGGGTCTGAGATTTTATAGTTGTGATTTTGCTGTACCTGAGCAAGTCATTTAGGCAATGAGCGTGCATAGCCTGCTGCACAGTATCTACATCTCAGCACGTGTGCTCTGTATTTACCAGTAGAAGTAGCTATGAAAGGTCTTGAGGTTACTTAAAATTTTCTAATATACTTTATTGCTTTCAAAGGGGGAAATTATATGTTGTAGTTGAATTTATGACTTTAGAAGTTTGAAAAGGTTGCTAGACATCCTCGTGAGTATTTAGAGACTTGTGTTCATGTCTTATCTCACCAACCGCTACACAAAGTGCTTGTTAATATTAAATATTTTTTATTTTAATGAGTAGAAAGTTTAAACAGAAGCTCTCTAACTGAGTATGTTAACATATTACAGATGGCTTCCTTAGCGGTATCCAACTGGCCTAAGCCCATGCCATTGATTCCATGTCTGTCTTGGTCCACAGCATCTGGGGTCTTCACTACGGTAATTTAATTGCAATTAATTTTTAGATCATTATATATGCTTACATGTAATTGTTTTGGGGGCTCCCTAAACCACCCCCAGGTTTGGTGATTCACTAGAAGGAATCACAGGACTCAGCATGTTGTTATACTCATGACTAAGACTCATCAGAGCAAAAGGGTACAATACAGAATTAGCAAAGGGAAAAGGCATATTGGGGAAAGTCCAGAGGACATCAGGCACAAGCTTTCAGTGGATTCTCACAGCTTGTGTTGGATTCCTCCAGCAGTGTCACAGTATTTGTAAAGTGTTGTCCATCATTTCAGCTCGCTTGAGCCCAGAAATCCAGGGTTTTTATCAGCTCAGTCATTTAGGCACCCTCTGCCTAGCATATACCAAAATACCAGAAGGAAAGCAGGTGTTCAGCAGAAACTACATTGTTTGTACAAGTAGTTTAGGCACAGAGACCTGCTTTGTCATTTAGGAAGTTTTATATCAGGGTAAAGAACTGTTTACTAGTCAAGTTCCCAACCTCTAGTCAAGGACCAACTCTATAAGCAAGCTAAAGATAGGAAACCTCAAGCTTGCTATATTATCTCTTTTCTATACAGTAATAATAATACAATTTTTGGACAAAATAAATGGTGTGATTTTATCTTAATTTAGTTTGTTATTTCAGGGTGTGCTGAGTAAATCGATTAATTGGAGGGAGCTGGAAAAGCAGTATTATACACAGACAGTTTATGAGGAAGAAATTATTCACATGCTTGAATATTGTGGGGTAAGTTTTTTATTTCTTCATAATGTTAGGGGAATGTTGATTGTGTTTAATGATTCAAATTTTTAAAAAGTGGCAAATTTTGGGACCCTAGTTGGGTAGCTCAGTTGGTTAGAGCATCTCCTGATACTCCAAGGTTTTGGGTTCAGTCCCCAGTCAGGGCGTATACAAGAATCAACCAATAAATGCATGAATAAGTGGAACAACAAATCAGTGTTCTTCTCTCTCTCTCTCTCTCTCTCTCTCCCCCTTCCTTACTCTCTCTAAAATAAATTTTTAAAAAAAGAATTGCAATTTTTTAAAAAAGTACTATTTTCTACTTTTAAGAATTCTTTATTTTAAAATAAAATACAGATACAGAAAATCATGCAAAGCAAATATATGTCTTAGTACATTTATTAAATAGCAAACACATTTGTAATAGGTCAAGAATAGAACTTGATGCTTAGCCTGTTTGGCTTAGTGATTAGAGTGTTGGCCCTCAGATTGAAGGGTCACAGGTTCCATTCCAGCCAAAGGCACGAACCTTGGTTGCAGGCTTGATCCCTCGCCCTGGTCGGGGTGCATGCGGGAGGCAACAGATTGATGTGTCTCTCTCACATTGATGTTTCTCTCTCTCTCTCTCTTTCTCTTTCTCTCTCCCTTC